AATTTCTTTACTGAAAGAGTGGTCAGACATTGGAACAGGCTGCCCAGGGAGGTGGTGAAGTCCCCATCCCTGGAGGTGTTTAAAAAGCGTGTGGATGTGGCACTTCAGGATATGTTTAGTAGGCATGGTGGTGCTGGGCTGACGGTTGGACTTGATGATCTTAGAGGTCTTTTCCAGCCTATGATCCTATGATTCTATATATGCCCCATCCCTGGAAATGAATGACTCAAGGGCAGGTTGGACAGGGCTCTGAGCAACCTGATGGACTTGCAGATGTCCCTGCTCGTTGCAGGGGAGGCTGGACTAGATGACCTTTAAAGGTCCCTTGCAACCCAAACTGTTCTACAATTCCATTACATCCACCAGCACTAGGAGGAGCCACTCCATGGAAACAGTGGCAGATCAGATTAAAACATTAGAAAACAAGCACTTTTTTTTATGCTGCAGGCAATGGACTTTTCAAATTGGCTGCCTCGGGAGGTTGCAGAGGTGGACAGTACAGCAAATTCAAAACAATAGTAAATGAACCCTTGGACTGCATTTACTGGTCATGCTATTTCCTATACCAACACAGTGACTGCAGATATATGTCCTAGAGAGATATATGCCACTAAGCAGCTACTGGTGCAAAGATTCTCCAGAATCTGCTGTTACATCTGAGACACCTCCAGTACACAACAATTCTTATTATAAATTGAGCCTAAAGCTCTCTATTAGCTTCAAGTATTTCAGTCAAGAACCTAAACTCTGTATATACGGAACAGGAAGACCAAAGAGTGAGAAGACCACCAAACTTCAGAAAAAAAATAGACCGTGATTGTTTTCTCCATATCACAGAAAATGAACAACCTCCCGCCCTATGCCCAAGAGAGGTCAAGTAGGGGCTGGATTTGTACTTACTAACCAAACTTAATCTTGAGCTCAACAAGGTAGAAGTACAGGCAAGAGAAAAAAAACCCCACACACGACAGACTGCACTCATGCCTACATAATGAGCCACATTTGCTTCATGGTCTTACTTGGGTCCACAACCAAGACAATCACACCAACATGATACACAGGTCAAAGCCCTGGTAGATTCCAGGCAGAAACAGTTTCCATCTCTCCATCAGACCCTGATCCCAGTTACTAACATGTCCAGGACATGAACTGCCCTTGCATTCAAACATCTTTACATTAGGTTCCCCACTAACTATCTAGTACTTTTATTAGCCAGATTTACTCTTTATTTGCTCCCCTTCCTTCAAAATATCCTAGACAAACAAAAAACCTGGCTTCCATATTTTCACACAACACCTAGGGAAAAAAAAAACCAAAAAAGTAGTCAGTTATGCAAGCTGTTGTTGAAGTTGAGTACTTAAATTTAAAGTGGAACTATATTTATCTTTTCTGGAGAAAAGGCATCCTAGAGAAAGTTTTCAGAAATCTGTCCCATCTCCTAAGTGCAAGGAGAGGTCTGGAAGCCAAGCAATCAATGGGACAAGTTAACAGGACTCCAGTGTTTCTGTGAAATACTGGAGCACTTCCTCCAGAAAGCAGAAACTGCCTGGTTCAGCATCCTTCAATCTAATATTCAGGTATCATGCTTCTGTGCGAATAGACAACAGGCAGCAGAGGCAACAACCAAAATTCAAATGTCTACTGTGCGTGAAATTGTTGCAGCATCAGACATTACAAATTTAAGCTAAACCAGCATTCAGTTAACTTGCCTTTATTATTTTACAACATAATGTTTGGAGCTCAAATAAAGCAATCAAAAATCTTCAAGAAAGAAAGGAAATAGCATATGCTAGGCATTATCAACATTTCTTAAGAATGGTTTGACTCAGGTGTGCGAAAAAATAATCAGAAGTTTCAACTTGTTCTGCAAAGACAGATTAGGGACAAGGAAGCAGACAGTAAGAAGAGAAAAGTTTCAAAATTAAAGCCATTGGAAGTTACAAAATCTAAGGTGATTCACCACAGGACCAAGAGGCACCAGGAGGCATACAAAACAGATGCTAAGTATCACTAGAGAAGTTAAAAAACTATTTCTTGAGCAGTTGGGGGGGGGGGAGCCTTTCACAAGAGTCCAGGAGTCTTCAAAACAGAGACCATCTGCTGACATCTCAAATCCAAAGGCTTCCTTTGATATTAAAAAGTAATTTTTGACACTATGTCTTGCACTGAACACCAAATATTGCAACAATAGATCTCCTGATAAAGTTCACAGAACATCTTTAGATTTTCAAAATAAACACTCTGTCTAGGGAAAAGGGACTGCATGGTTTTAACAACCTCTACTCAGGCACAGTCTTGGTGGACCATAAAAATGTTAATAGGACATAACAACTGGCAGCTGTCTAAATAATGGTGATTGTGATGTGATAATTATTCTGTGAAGACACTGCACCACTAAGTCAGTGTTAGCTGTATTTGAAATTTTAAAAGGGTCGGTTTCCTCAAATGTAATAATTGCAAGTGACTAGAAAAAAAAAAATTAAAATGAGAAGTGTAAGCTAGGAATTATCATTTAATGACACCCAAAATTAATGTTCAAAAAAGAAAGCATAATATAAAGAAGAAAGGTGAAAAAAATAGTAAGTGTTAATAGTTACAAGAAAAATACACGTAACAAACTCATGGAATCAACAAAATACCATTTCACAGCAGCATTAAGGACAGCAAGAATTCAGACCTGTATAAACACCTACTCAGTCATGAGCAGATCCACCACTAGATACCGCTGGTGAAAATAAAAGCAGCATTGCAAAAATGCAGAAATATTCCACAGATCCTTCTTATCTGTACCTGGAACAAAACAATGAGTGCATTTAGTCTCATATAATAGTAAGAAAGGAACAAAAATGTTGATGTATTTAATCAAGGAAGCTCTACAGCAGCACTTCCTACAATTTAACATTTTCCAATCAAACGCCCAGCATTTCACATAATTGTCTTAAACTAGTCAAAAAGTAGCTTGCCTTTTATCTGTGACACAATAATGCACTAGCAAACCTGGGATTCAATCAACAGCTTTAGTGACTAGCATCGATGATGCTAGTCAAGCATATCTTCAGAAAACAGAGTCAAGCTAACAAAATTCTCGTCCCAAGTACATTACAAAGGTACCTTCACCAGTACAGTACATTTGAAATTACACAAAAGAAATTGTTTCAGTACAATATAGCACCTTAATTAAAAACAATGAGCATTGTAACAAGCTATTCCGGGGACAGTTTAAATGGATTAAAAACTCATACACGAACAGATCTCAAAATACCTCAAACAGGAAAACACAACCAAGCATGTCATAACCTTGCATTGTACCTCAAAACCAAGTCCTCATGCACCACCATGTAATAATTTTATCAATTATCTGACAATTAAACGGCTTTGTCCATATAATTTACAAAGGATATGGAACTCAGCGCTTTAATGCCCAGTTAAGCCTATAGGCAATGAAGTCTGAGTTGCCATCTGGCATTTTGTTACAAGGATTAATACAAAGAGCTCCCGGCAGAAATTCTACAACCTCTGTGTACCAGCATTCAAATTAATTTCTTTGGCCTTTTATTATGGTTTCAAGAAATCCATAGCTCTAATAGTCACTATCAAGCTTCGTCAGAACTCCTGATCTCATGCCCCAGGCAATTTAACAGCACAAAATAGAAGATCCTTCACAGGCACTGGACTACTCCACACATTTCTGCAACTTCCCCCAGAACTTCTGTTGCAGGGTTGTCAGCCCAGACCAAACTGAACCAACAGGATATGCTGCTTTCCTCATGAGAATGGGTTCTAACTGTGCTCTCCACCAGATGCTTAAGATACGAACCATGATACATAACTGAAGACAACCTTGCTTCTCAGCTTGGATCCAGGAAAGCAAGGTCAGGAGAGTTAATACTGCCCTGCTTACCACTGCATTTTTTTTTTCATATTCTTCTTCCCCTCTTACTCTCCTTAACAGACTGTGGGAACAGAATCTGAGGCCTACTATCAGCAAAACCAATCATATCCTAACTAGAATGAGCAACCCCCTTTCCACCTAGCCCTCTGATGAACTCACCTTACCACTCATCCAAATTAACACACGAGGGACCCGTGAACTGCATGGCTAGACCTCTATATCAAGCTGGAGTACCACTACTTGAGAAGTTTTTCCTAAAATGCCCCAGCATCTGTATGCTGCATGAATAACAATCCCAGGTAGCACAACATAATGCACATTAGGTCCTTCCCTACCCCACACTCCTTAAAACATGCCATGGCTCTATGTCTTAATATGGGGCTAACCCAAACAGTGTGCCTAGCAGCTGCTTCCAGCTCAGCAAACCATACCCCCAGGCAACTCAGGTCAACTCTGTTTCTTCATCCCTGAACACACAATGGACACGCTCCTCTGCATTGTAAAACACCTGCCCACAGCGCAGACGTGGCTCTTCCTGCTGGTACCAGAGATGCTCATTGAACTCTGGGAAGAAAAAGGCAATTTCTCTGCTGGCTGATGCTGGTGAATCTGTTAGAAAACAGAGGAAAAAATGATGAGAGATACCAGTCTGGCACCACAAATATGCACTGTGTTCAAAAGGGAAGGGCAGGAGCCATAAGCAAAAGTGCAAGACTTGGTTGCACCAGGACAGGTGCGAGTAGAGTCTGCAGAAGTGAGCAAATCATTAACTTTGACTCCCAGAATGGAGAGCAAAGGCAGACAAAAAATCATCATTCACACCTCCCTGAGCTCCAGTCTTTGCCCAACAGTCAGACAAGAAGGACAGGTCTACCTGAGCCATGAGTGGTATTTCTGGTGTCAGTGAGGCCATAAGCTCCTCGGATGGAGTCCGGGACACTGTTTCGGGCTTGGAATACTTTGGTAGGTCCCATCAGGGATCTCCAGAAGGGGACAGCATTCTCATGGGCCAAGATATAAGCCCACATGGGGCCACTGAGAAAAGAACCAGGGAAGAACAGAAGTAGGCAAGGTTACAAAAGGGTACAGCTCCTTCACTCTTACAAATACAGCAAGTGCAAAGAAGCACAACTGCCATGCAGTGCTTTCTGGGCAGGGATGCAGACCTACCATGACACTGAGACCATGCCTCAGAAGCAAAGTATTTGCACGAATGACCTCCTCCTAGGTGATGGCACCCACAACCTTTGGGGATGTCACCCCATCGAGTACTACTGTTGTCACAGCAGAGTTCGTTTCTGACATTTCCCCACCCCCGAGCCGAGAGCCTTCCGAAGCAAAGTATTTGCACGAATGACCTCCTCCTAGGTGATGGCACCCACAACCTTTGGGGATGTCACCCCATCGAGTACTACTGTTGTCACAGCAGAGTTCGTTTCTGACATTTCCCCACCCCCGAGCCGAGAGCCTTCCCCTCGGCACACCACAAGCACCCACTCCCGAGGAGACAGCTCCCTCGCCGAGGTGGGCCCCCCCAGACGCAGAGGCACTGCTCAGGCAAGACCAGGGCCCACCTGCAAAGCGAAGCGAGCGAGCTCCTCGCACCCCGCGCAGCCCGGCCACGGGCACGGCAGGTACCTGGCCATGAATT